CAACTCTTGACAGGATTAGAAAGTCTCATCTTTCTCCTTCAGAGTAGCTGGTGGTTTTGAACTGCTGACCTTGTAACTACTACAACTGCAAAGCCCTCTTCTGATAGGGAAAAAGGGGGATTTAATAATGATGATGATTCTTACAAATAATACTTCTAAGTAGATGCCCATTCAGAAATGGCCGTGTGTTAATGGACTAGATAGCTGACAGGCTTCTGGATAAAGCTCTCTGTTATTTGTTTCAGATGCATCCAGGTCTAGTAACAAAGAACCTATCTACAACGAGACTTTCAGCCAGTGTCTAATTCTACCCCTTGCCCCAAACCCTTGATACTTAGAAAATTAAAGTACCCATAGTTCGCCAGCACATTACATACATTTAATACATTTAATGCATTCTCGTTTTCTCTAAGTGGATCTACTCACCTCCGCTTTCCCACTATTTGGCACTTTGCAATACACTTCCCCAGTAGATGGGTCATAGGAATCAATATATGAGTTACAAGGTAGGAATTTTCCACCTATGAAATTTTCCAGAGTCAAAAGGGTCTTTGTTCCAGCCATGGTGACAAACAAGTCTGTCTTTCACCTTCACAGTTCCGTTCTGCTGCCCCACGGCTTTTCCTCTGCTCTTGAATTAGTCTCCTCCTCTCTCCCAACCCCAGCGCCCTCATTTGCCAATCATTGACCAGTAGAAGTGGACAGGAAACGACGATTCCAGTCTCCAAACTCTGAACTAGGAGAGAAGTCGCATTATCTCACGCGTCTGTGCACTCCCACGCATTATGCGTTAGCCAGCAACGTGAGTATTCGTAGCCCTTTTAGACTGTCAAAAGGCATCTGTGTGCATTATTTTCTTGGGCTCAACTGTAAGTGTTTGCAGGGCTGAGCAACATTTTACTCTCTATTCCCTAAGTGCATTCGCTGACGTTGACTGGATGGCAACCAGCACCTCCATCAACACATTCCATCCACACAGAAGTCGCTCTAAAGCAACTAGCATCAATGCACTCGCATCTCGCAGACACTGGGCCGCAAGATTGTGTCCAAGGTCACATCGATACTAACTTACTCAAGGGTGAACCACAGTCCCCTTGGTCTCCAAAGCATGCTCTTTCCCTGGATTCAGCCCTGGCCTCCCACCCCACAAAGGCTACTGGAGACAGACGACTCCCTTCTTCCCTCCTTCATCTCTTCTTTGCCTCCGGAACATTCTCAGATGTGCCATGGCGAGAAAGAGACAAACTAATCAGGGAGATGCAATCCAAATCCATAAATTCACAGGCACCCTGGTGCCGTAGTGGTCATGTGTGGGCTGCTAACCAGAGTCAGCAGCTCACACTACTCTATGGGAGGAAGAAAGAGGGCTTTTCTACTAGAAAGAGGTAGTCTTGGCTATCCACAGGGGCAGTTCTAGCCTGTCCTATAGGGTCGATGTGAGTCAGAAGTGATTGGATAGATGGCACTGGGCTTTGAGGGTTTTGTGTTTGTTTTTTAATATTCCATAAAATGGATGTGCCAAGTAATAGACCTTTGGATTGTTTGGAATTTCTAAAATTATTATAAGGAATGATGCTTGTGTGGCTTCTCTTCTTGTGCATACGCACGTGATTTTGCATAGTGATGCCTAGAAATGGAATCATTACACTTAAAGGTAAGCACATTTAAATACTGGCACACTGCTCCAAAAAGTGGCCCAGTAACCCTTCCCACGAGTGCACACACAAGTCCTCACACGCAGTGGAGTCTCTCTCTCAGCTCTCTGGAGCTTGGCAGTCACCGTGACCACACACTAGCTTCTCCACTCTAAGGTCCAGGTCTTGTTGGACTCAGTAGCTAGAAACTAGCTATGACGCTCTGCTTACCAAAGGGCCAACATCCTGGTCTTTTCTCCTTATCCGCCGAAGCCTCTGCAGCCACTTTGGAAGTAGAATGTTTTCTTTAACACAAACACGTCCTGGGGAAAGGGCTCCATCTCATCCCATCCAGGAAGAAGCACGAACATCGTCGGAAGATGTTGGACTGGCTCTGGTTTTTCTCAATTTAAAATGGTGCCACCTTTCCTCTCCAGTTACTTTTTGATCTTATGTAAATAAAGTCAGACATGTTGATATGCTTTGTTGGAAACTCTCTTCCAGTATTTTTTTTTTTTTTAGAATTAGGGCCTAGAAAAACAACTCTATATATTCACATATACTTTAATAAATAATCCACCCAGTCAGGGTCCATTCAGGAAAACCAAAGTCATGCTGGTGGTGGAGGTGGAGGTGGTGGTGG